TCCCATTGCAACCCAAAATGTGTGATTTTCTTTCCCTTTCACTCTCTTTCTTTCACTTTAACTGTGATAACAGTTATCAGAAACAAAGAGAGGGTGAATCTCCCTAATGTTCTAATCCCTCTCTACCCTAAAACATCAAATAAAAAAAAAAAACTAAAACTAAACTTTTGTCTTTAGTTTTTCTTCCATTAGACCTCATATAAGGCCTTGCTGTAAGTTATAAGAGGCCTTGCAGCAAAAAAATATACCCACATTTAAAACACCCAGGGCAGCTGCACAAGGGCCGTCGGGGACATGCAGCTCCCTTTATACTAGATGTGGGTTAGGGACTCAGACCTCTCCTTTTGCCACATTGCTCACAGGTAAAATGTGGGAGGCTTTTTTCACGGTGCCCAAAGGCTCAAGTTCACTGGTGTGGCCCTCCTAAGAATGATCCACAGGGCATTTGACAGGTAGTAAGAAGGTCCTCCTCACTGCTTGTTTTAATCTCTATGTAGCACTGCCCCCTTTGGGGTTGCAAAGATTTGGGGTCCCCCTATAGCCCGCCACAGCCAGGTAAAATGCATTATCACGAAGAATGAATCCAGGAGTCAGAGATCAGACTTTGAGCTTTGTTCTTGTGATCTTATTAGGGGGATTTGAACTGGCATAGAGTTAGGGGTTTACAGGATGCCCAATGGAAACGATGAAGTGAGGATGACTTCCTGGAACTATTTACAAGCCTCCACTGCAACACAGTCTTTGTTAGAGAGCTAGCCAGTGACTCCTAGTGTACCACCCCAGACCCTAGATAGACTCCTCTTCCTCTACCTAGCTGTCTGGAGGTATCCCTGAGCAGGGAATTTGGTGCCTGTCACTTTAAGAGATTAGACAGCCCAGTAGATGGCAAATCTGGTTTCCCACCAGACTGCTCCTTTCCCTATCTGGCCCAAGGGGTGCAAGTCTACTCACTCAGTCCTTCTCTCGTGCGGCTGGTGGGTTGGTGGCTGTGCCTTCCCTGTCACACAGGTGGTCTTCTCTGAGGGAGTGAAGTCCCAAGTTTTCCACCTTCCTAGCTCCACTGCCTGTAGGTGAGCCCCTCTCTCTCCATCTGGGCCCCCTCCCAGGCTCCTACCTTCAGCCTCACATCTTCCTCTCTGTCTTCCACCCGAACTCTCTCTCCTCCAGCTGAGCAGGCTCTCGCTCTATAAAATGTTGTCCTGGCCCCTTGTTAAGCCTCCTGTTGGGAATTAACTATGATCCCTTAAGAGCACAAGCCAGCCACTCCTCAGATCCACCACTGCTTCTAGACCTTTCTCCAAAGTTCTAGAGCAGGGGGAAATTCCAGAGGGGTTGGCCTGCAGAGCCTCTCAGCTCTGACCAAAGTTTGACCCCTGCTAGCTATCACACTCAGGCTGCTACTCAGCCTTCCTAGCGAACAGTCAGGCTCTTAGCTCCCCCTAGCTGACTCAGAGGGCGCTATATTTATAAACCCCCCAAACATGATGGGGGATCATTTTGCCATGTCGTGATACATCATCACTGCAGCAGTGGTATTTGTACACCTCTGTCCTCTGCCTTTGCAGCTTAAAAGTGAGTGGTTGAGGAGTGGTAAAACATAGTTCAATTGCATGCCTGAGGCTTCTATACACAGCTGTGTGATGGGCCCATAGACTAGTATACAGATGCCTATAAAACTATACATTGTACATAGCATAAGTGGAAGTCCAATCAAAAGCTAACTAAGCTTAAATCTGTTCCCGCCCCCCATCCTAAACCCTACACTAACTACCCTGTAAAGGAAAGATATGTATGCTTATCTAATCTAAGGGGACCTCTGGTCTGGTTACATAATCTCCCCTGCGTCTGGCTTCAGCGGAGAGGCAAGGGCAAAGACAACAGCTGCAAAACCTGGCCTATGACATCACCCACAGAATTACTATGGGGCATCTTTCCACACCATGGGGAGAAAGTGCCACACTGGTTAGCCACTATTCCAAGGATAACCTGGTTTTGGTGTTCAGAGACAATGGGTGATCCAAGGTCAGAGTTCTTTTGTCATACACTGTCAGAATGTTGAGTTGCAACAACCTTGAATGAAACAGCAGCCTCATGCAGAAGCGAATGGAAATGCGTTTAAGGAAACTCAAATCCCGCACCTTGGTCCAAGGCTTTTCCTGGGGAAGGAAAACTCATGCCATGGCAGTGTTCAAAACTAGGCCTAGATATCCCAGCCAATGGCTCCAGAGTCAACTTCTTGATATTGAGGACCCCAGGTGAAAGCCTACAGGAGTTGCACGATCTGCTGCACATAGATTTTGAGGCCTTCTCTCAATTACTCCTGCAGAAGTAGATCCTCCATTTACCCCAGAACGGGGATCCCTCTGACTCCCAGAAGGGCCAAAACTGAGGCTAGCATGTTTATGAACACTAGCAGTGCTGTCACTAGGTCAAAGGGCAGAGCCACAAACTGTAAATGTTGTTCCCCCACCACTAAATGCAGTTAGCACTGAAAAAAAGAGATATAGGGATGTGGAGGAAGGCATCTTGGATGTCCATTGAGACCAGGGGGTTCAGAAGTGAGTGGCCAATTTATAGATGTAGCGTGACCCTCTTGAAGGCCGCTGAGTTTTTGAATCCCCCTAAGCTCTGCACAGCCAGACAACACACATTTTCCACGCTTTCATCCAAAGTGAGTAAAACAGTCCTTGAGCTTGATTTTTATTGTTTTATTAGGAAATTTAACTTTGACAGGGTCTATGGGTTTATGGGATATGCAATGGAACTGTACAACTGTGGAGAACAAACTCCTTAACAAAAAGGACAAAAATCAGCAGCACAAAGTCTTTGCAAGGAGCACTTGTGCCCCTTAGTGAACCTACTCAGACCCCAGATGAAAATCTCTCATCCACCTGGCTGTCTTGACAGTGTCCCTGAGCAAGCAATTTCGAGACATACAAATTAAGGAGTCCCAGGGAGAACTAGTTGAGTATTGCACCTGACCGCCCTCTCACTTCTTTGGCCCAGAGGGTGTAGAAGTACCCACACTGTCCTGTTCCAGTAACTTAACGGGTTGCAGCTGCTTTCAGGCCTTTCGCTGGCTTCATCACCTGCTGACAGGCTGTCTTTCCTGAGTAGACTGTGGGACAGTGGTGGTCCTTTTGTCTAGCTTCTGCCTTGCCTGATCATTTGTTCCCCCCAATAGCAACCATCTGACATATCAAGAACGGATGGATCAAGTAACTACCGGCCAGGGGCGGACTGACCATTTGGAAACTTGGGCACTGCCCGAGGGCTCGGGGTCAGTAGGGGGCCCCATGAGATGCCCCTGGTACCTTTTTCATTGGCTTTTTGAAGTTTGGGCAAAAACACAGGGCCCCATGATCCCCTATTGCTCGGGGGGCCCCATGAGTTGTCAGTTTGCCCCTGATACCGGCTCATATCTATGGGTTAGTGTTAGTGTGAGGGATAGGGATAGCAGGAGGGTTAGTGTGAAGGTTAATGTAAGGGACTGTGTTGGTGTCAGGAAAGGGATAGGGATAGCAGGAGGAGGTGTTAGTGGGACTGAGTTGGTGTCAGGCAAGGGATTAAGCAGGAGGGTTAGTAAATGGGGACTGAGTTGGTGTCAGGCAAGGGATAGGTTTAGCAGGAGGGTTAGTGTGAGGGTTAATGTAAGGGACTAAGTTGGTGTCAGGCAAGGGATATGGTTAGCAGGAGGGTTAGTGTGAGGGTTAATGTAAGGACTGAGTTGGTGTCAGGTAAGGGATAGGGTTAGCGGAAGGGTTTGTGTTAGGAGTGAGGGATAGGGTTAGTAGGAGGGTTAATGTTAGGGGTTGGATTAGCAGGAGGGTTAATGTTAGGGGTTGGGTTAGCAGGAGGGTTAATGTTCGGAGAGAGGAATGGGGTCAGCAGAAGAGTTAGTTCTAGGGCGAGGAATAGAATTAGTGGGAAGGTTAGTGTTAAGTTAAGCGATAGGATTACCAAAAGGGTTAGTATGAGGGAAGCCCTTTAGGTTGCACATAGAAAACAGCACCGATGTCACACCGCTGAACATTAGCACACTGCAAAAAAATCAATTTTGAGGAGTTTTCCTTCTCCATCTTCAGTTAATTTCCCTTTGATTACAAACAAAAGTGATTAGACAGAAGAGGAAAAAATCATTAACCTGTTTATTGATAGGTTAAATCTTTTATGTAAATAAACTTTGCCATTATTAAAATATAATATCTACAAACAGAGAGATAGCAATGATATCAAATGGCTTTATTTTTTTGAACTTCTTTACAAACAAACAGCATAAAGCGAACCTGATCTGCCCTAAATTATTTCTAAGATAACAAAACACCTAGAGTGCAGGTACCTTGCGGTGTCTGAGTTAGTCTTCAATCCCTGTGTCAGATTATACACAAGTCCTCAACCTCAAGTCGACATTAAACTCAAATTCCTCATAATGCTAAGTCCTACTCTCTGTCAATCAACTGTCAAACTTCAGTAAGGCGGTAAAGGCTCTGGCATTTGACAGCTGAATGACAGGGACAAGGTGGAGCTTAATCCTGACTTGGGCAAAAGTCAAGGACAAATGTACAGCCTGGGCTGAGAATCCAAATGGTCTCTACAAGATTTGCACACAGATTAACACAGATGCTAGCAAGCACCACTAGATTCCAACACTTCATCATTGCTGCTGCTACCTTTAGAAGTACCTTTAAAAGTGTTAGAAGTGCTATTGTAACAGCAGAAGCTGCAAGCTCAAACCTGTCGTTGATTTTTTACGTTTCATAGCACCCACAGCCCTTCCAAAGAATGTATGAAAAACAGTAACTTCCTTAAAGTCACTATTTGCATAGCCATAGGCATCCCCTCCTCCACCATTGGCCATGTCCATCACAGTGACATGGCCTACAAAGCAGTGTAGGAGTACATATTACATTGACAAGAATCATATATATAGTAAATTGATTTAGAGAATTCTGGAGTGGCATGAGAAACGAAGGTAAAAAGTGGGGTGTTCCTTTGGAGTGTTAGTTTTTGTATTTCAGCCATATTATGTATAAACCAATGCAAACAACAACAGCTGATGCGATAACAAGGGGATCATGCAGGTTGTTCTCCCTGGACTTTTCTTTTTGTTGAGATGCCTCCCTGTCACCTGTCTCCCTGGTTTCTGGGGTTTTCGTTGTTTTCTGTTGAGGCGCACTGTTTCCATCCATGAGGTCCACTGATGGGTTTTCATTGAATTGAAGTCTGTAGAAACTTAAATCATTGGAAAGCTCGAAGCTGTTCTCTTCTGGCTCTTGCCTGTTTTGTTCTCTCCTACGCACAGAGCCAGAAGCTCTTCTAGGATCTTCACTTTCCTCTGGCCTCTTTTTAGGAGAGCTGCCTGAGCTTGAATTCTTAGGTGTGCTTGTATTTGGCTCATCAAGTGGAGTGGGACTTCCCTTGCTGGCCCTTGTGGCGGGTGATTTAGAAGAACCTGGAAACTGGGAACCCTTATTACTCAATTCATCAACACTTATCTCAAGTTCAGGCATCCTCGATAACGCAGGGGCTTGGTCAGTTTCTCTTGTGAAATCTGCAAAGCCAGCACCGGACACCAAAACTCCTGGTTTTTCGACATCATTTGTTGGTCTACATGATGAGTGTTGCACACTCTGCAAATGAATCACACAATTTCATGAGCAAATCTCAACATTACAGAAGCCAATTAAACCAGATCTGTGTTTACTTGTAACATAAAGATATGACAGTTTTTCTAGAGTACATAATTAGAGAAATAGGCTGAAATACTTATGTTTTTTGGGTGAAAATGTTGCTCCAGGCTCTCTGCAGTGCTTATGATATAACCAAAATCTTAGACATTTGATCATATGAGCTACATGAATAAAAAATATTAAAGAGTGTAGATCAGCCTATCCTTCACTTGAGTAAATATCATATAAGCATGAAGGTCCTGCATCAAAATCACCCAGCACCAGTACAACATTTTGTGAACTCGTTGGCAACTTTGTGGCCACACAAATCCCTTCTACCATTTACACCAAGGACAGCAACTACTATTAAAGTTTACCTGTCATGATAGAAATATTCAGGCTGCAGTTACTGAACCGTTCTGAGAATGTTTCTACCCTGGTTACCATATTTAGTCTCTTTCTTTAATACTTTGAGTAGCAGACCTGGAGCCAGTAAGAAGATAAAGGCTGTCAACCTTTTCTTTGACTCTTGCAAATGTGTTGCTGATCAGTGACTTGATGATTCTTGTGTCTAGAGGCAAGATATCTCCAGGACAGTACCCTTTATAATGGAAGTGACTTTTAGAAATCCAAATGATGGTGTTACACTTTCCTGATGGTTTTTTCAATTATGTAGAACATACCAACAGTTAGGATGTCCAGGTAAAAGAGAGGAGCACCTTCATTGTGTCCATATAGGATAGGGCAGAGTCATACTTGATACATTGGGGAATTCACATAGATGGAGTCTCTAAAGCAGTGATAGTTAACTTACTTGATATAGGGGAATTAGGTCTTTAAAAAGCCACACATAAAATTCAGTAAATGTATGGCTACAGAAAGCAGTCAGAGGCTGCAAGCATGTTACTGGAGTTGTTGGAAACTAGGGATATACTTCAGAAGACAATAATGGACTGAAGATATGGTACATGAGGCTTCTAGAGATCATTGCTAGTACATCTTCTATACAAATGCTTTCACATCTGTGCACCCAACAGCTCCTGTAGAATATACAAGACTAGAAGAAAAAAAAAGCAACACACAGCACCTAAAAGGGGTTATGTGGTTAGCACTTCTGTATGGCAGCACTAAGGTCATCAGTTCAAATCCCAACCATGACACTACCTGCCTGGAGTTTGCATGATCTCTCAGTGATAATAACCCCAAAACACACCTCCAAGAGGACCACTACCTTGCTAAAGAAGCTGAGGGTAAAGGTAATGGACTGGCCAAGCATGTCTCCAGACCTAAACCCTATTGAGCATCTGTGGGGCATCCTCAAATGGAAAGTGAAGGAGCGCAAGGTCTCTAACATCCACCAGTTCCGTGATGTCGTCATGGAGAAGTGGAAGAGGACTCCAGTGGCAACCTGTGAAGCTCTGGTGAACTCCATGCCCAAGAGGGTTAAGACAGTGCTGGAAAATAATGGTGGCCAGACAAAATATTGACACTTTGGGCCCAATTTGGACATTTTCACTTAGGGGTGGACTTGATTTTGTTGCCAGCGGTTTTAGACATTAATGGCTGTGTGTTGAGTTATTTTGAGGACACAGCTAATATACACTGTTATACAAGCTGTACACTCACTACATCACATTGTAGCAAAGTGTCATTTCTTCAGTGTTGTCACATGAAAAGATAGAATAAAATATTTACAAAAAATGTGAGGGGTGTACTCACTTCTGGGAGATATTGTATATATATATATTTATGAATGTGAGTTAGGGACCTTAGACTGTTAGCTCCTTGAGCATCAGGGACTGATGTGAATGTACAATATACAGTGTAAAGCGTAAATTGATGGCACTATATATGTACCTGCAATAATAAGAACGATTGGATGCCAGGTCAAAGAATACTTTTTACACTGGCTTGAGTAAGCACCAAAACATAGACTACTGGGGTCGCACAACAAGTGCCAAAAGGGCCGCAGGTTGGGCACAAGGGCTCTAAAGTGGTTAATAAAAAGGGCTTTATCTTCCTGGTACCCACCCAAAACATTAAAATTCTAATTCTGGATAGAGTATGCTTTTAGTATTGCAACATGGATAGACTTCATTTTTCACCATGGTAGGGAGTGGGTACTTTTTTTTCTAATATGTGTTTGTATATAGAAAGAAAAGAGACAGAAGAGTCTCTTACCGACTCATATGTAGGCTGCTGCTGCCTGTGCTGGGGTCCCGCTGCAGCTTTTACTCCAGACTCCGAACTTGTCCCCGATGGATGCTGGGATGGAGCGCTTGTCACCTTTATCACAATATTTTAAAAGTCACAGCAGAAAATAGAGTTAAAGTCCAAGTGCAGGCAGAACTCTTACTACTTACTTTGCAATGTTGGATACAGTAGAAAAGGTTGATTAATTTGGGGAAAGGTATTCTCTCTGACTACACTGGGGAGAATTTCTATCATTTGTTATCCCATTGCTACCAGGACATGGATTATGGGGTGTCACTAAGGGCTTGATTACATCAGCCTATTGGGCTGAGTTTTTCAGCACCGTCCCAAAGCATACTCAAAGCAATTTGCCTTATGTCCTATTTCTTCAGTTCACACCAATGTGCCGAATTGGTGTACACTAACAAAGAAAAATTAGGACATGTTTAACCACTTAAGATCTGGAAGGTTCTACCCCCTTCATGACCAGAACAGTTTTTGCTATTCGACACTGCACTACTTTAAAGTGGCAGTAAACTCATTTGTTTAATTTTAGGTACAGGTAAGCTTATAATAAAACTTACCTATAGGTAATACGAATATCTCCTAAATATACACCGTTTAGGAGATATTCTCTGTTTAATAAAGCTGGCGCATGTGCTCTGAAGGAATGCCATACCTGAGCCGTTCCTTCAGAATGTCACCAGCACACCGAAAATCACCAATATGGGTCCAAAAGTTTTAATAAACGATCACATAGTTACAGCAAGGCAACGTTTCGGAGTCTCGCAGGACCCCTTCATCAGGCCCTAGACACCCACGCGCATGCACAGGAGTGACGTCATCGCGGTCTGGCCTGTCGGACGGCCAGAGTTCGCGAACCAAGAAGGAAGACGGGCGAAGATGTAAGTGTCTACAACGATGACAGCGTGCCGCTGAAGGGCTTCATTTTACATTTACATAATGTATTGCATTGCATTGCAGTGCATACTAGCACATTGACATTACCTTGCAGGGAACTATTTTTTTTTATGTTTTCCTGCGGTTTACTACCACTTTAACTGGCAACTGCGAGGTCATGCAACACTTTACACTAATGAAATTTATATTTTTTCACACAAAATAGAGCTTTCTGTTAGTGTTATTTGATCACCACTAGGTTTTTTTTTTTTTTTATTTTATAAACGAAAAAAGACTGAAAATTCAAAAAAAAAAAAAAAAAAAAAAACCTATATATTTTTTCGGCTATAAAACATGTCATTAATAAAATGCAAAAAAAATCTAATTTCTTCATAAATTTAGGCCAAAATGTATTCTGCTACATGTCTTTGGTAAGAACGAAAAACCCAATAAGTGTATATTGATTGGTTTGTGTGAAAGTATACCGTCTAAAAACTATGGTATACTGTATAGACTGTTCAAATCCCACCCACAGCATCACCTGCCTAGAGTTTGCATGTTCTCCTTGTGCCTGTGTGGGTTTCCGCTGGGTACTCCGGTTTCCACCCACACTCCAAAGACATGCTGGTAGGTGAATTGGATCCTGTCTAAATTGTCCCTTGTATGTGTATGTATGAATGTGAGTTAGGGACCTTAGATTGTACACCCCTTGAGGGTTAGGGACTGATGTGAATGTACAATATATATATGTAAAGCACTGCGTACATTGATAAGTACCTATAATAATAATAATATACTGGAAATTTAATTTAACAACAACAGAGCCCTGTGTTGTTATTAAACACCAGGCTCTGTATTGTCATTCGCTAAGCCAATCAGCAAGTCCCGGCTATAAATCATTGGCTTGTGTTGTACTGAATGACAGCACAAATGGGGCGGTGAGTATACGCCCCCTACCCAGAAATGCTGGATCATGTACATATACAAGATCCAGCGCACAGTAGCCACCCTGTAGAAGTATACATACAGTAGGCAGTCCGCTAGTGGTTAATTTTTGCATATTGTTATTATTACACAGGATTTATATAGCACCAACAGTTTGCGCAGCGCTTTACAATATAAAGGGAGACAGTACAATTACAATACAATCAAAACAAGAGGGTTAGGAGGGCCACACTCCTAAGAGCTTACAATCTAATAGTATCGCATTCCATGTTAAATCAAATATAAAGTCAACGTTAAAAAAAGAAAGCACTGTGATGGGTACATGCACAACATAAAGCAGCTGGCACATTATGTGTACCTTAATGTGAGCACTCTGGTGTGAATTAGCCCTAAAAAAACTAGATACACACTGACCTAATAATCCGAGAGAGGTTCTAAGGCCCCATGTACATGGGACACTTCTGAAACTGGAAACTGACTACTGGAAAACGTAGGTGAAAAAACGTCTGTTTAGCCGCGTTTGCATACAGCGTTTATGTGTGTTTGCGTTTAGAAGCATTTTTTAAAGATAAGCACAGGAGAACCTCCCAGACACCCAGAATGCACTGAAAAGTGGTAAATTTCTAACTATTTCAGACTGTTTCAGAGAAATACAGAGAGTAGAAGCAGAGACAGCAGTATGTGTTGAGATTAGCGTAGGTGTGAGTTGCTCATTAACATTTCTTTTGTTTCCAAGGGTGGGAAAGGTGTCTGGTGGAGGGAGTCATTAAGGCCACCTGACAGGGGGTCTTCATGAGGAATTTTCAGTGTGAATGGTCATTAACATATCTTTTGTTTCGAAGGGTGGGAGAGGTCTGAGGTGTGAATTGGTCATTGCAAGGTGTGACAAACTTGGTAGGAACATCCTGTGTTCGGTGTTTTGTCCATCTGAGTACATTGAAAATGCTTTGCATACATTTTTCATGATGAAAAAAGGCTCTGGAGAGCATTGGGAACTGGAAGAGTTAAAAAAAAAATTTCAATTGCAAACACTTATAAATGCGATTTGGCGCGTTTACAAGCGTTTTGCGTTTGAAAAGCTGATAAAATCGACTGCTGAATGAAAGTTTGGTGCGTTCAAAAAAACGACTGTAAATTCAAAAGCCTGTAAACGACGATGTGTACATGAACACATCGGAAAACATTAGGGAGAGTTCAGGGGCTTCTGGAAAAAACGCTGAACAGCTCCTAAACGTGAGTTTATCAGCTGCAGTGTATATGAACCCTAACTCTTTCCACCTCAATTAACTAGTTGCCGACCGCAGATAGCCGAATGACGGCTGCACTGCGGCCGGCCAGTTCTGGGTGGACGTCATATAACGTCCCCCCAGAACGCGCTCTCCTGCGCGCCCCAGGGGGCGCGCACCTGGCGATCTCCGTGATCGCTGTGTCCTACGGACACAGCTGATCACGTGATGTGGTAAAAGGCCAATCATACCGGCCTTTTACCACGTGATCAGCGGTGTCCAATGACACGCTGATCACAGGGAAATGCAAGTACCGGTTCTCGGCTGCACTTTCCTCACGCTGTCAGATCGTGAGGAAAGTACTGCCGAGAACCGGCAGTTGTCAGAGCGGGGATCGGCACCGATCATCAGGACACTGATGATCAGTGCCCTGATGATCGGTGCCCAGCAGTGCCACCCACAAGTTCCGCCCACCTGTGCCCAGCAGATCACCCACCTGTGCCCAGCAGTGCACCCACCTGTGCCCAGCAGTGCACCCACCTGTGCCACTCTGCAGTGTCACACACCTGTGCCCAGCAGTGCCACCCACCTGTGCCCACCCACCTGTGCCCACCAGTGCCACCCACCTGTGCCCACCTACCAGTGCTGCCCACCAGTGCCACCCACCAGTGCAGCCCAGCAGTGCTGCCAGTCAGTGCCACCAGTCAGTGCCCAGCGGTTGTGCCAGTCAGTGCCGCCAGTCAGTGCCCAGCAGTGATGCCAGTCAGTGCCGTCTATCAGTACCCATCATCAGTGTCACCTATCAGTGCCGCCTATCAGTGCTGCATATTAGTGCTGCCTATCCGTGACACCTCATTAGTGCTGCCTATCAGTGTCGCCTATCCGTGCCACCTCATTAGTACTGCCTATCAGTGCCCTTTAGTGCTGCCTATCAGTGCCCATCAGTCAGTGCCGCCTATCAGTGCCCATCAGTGCTGCCTCATCAACGCACATCAGTGCTGCCTCATCAACGCACATCAGTGAAGGAGAAAAATTACCTGTTTGAAAAATTTTATAATAGAAACAAAGAAACTTTTTTTTTTTTTCAAATTTTTTGCACTTTTTTAATTTATAGCGCAAAAAGTAAAGCGCCCAGTGGCGATTAAATACCACCAAAAGAAAGCTCTATTTGTGAGAAAAAAATTATCAAAATTTCATATGGGTACAATGTTGCATGACCGCACAATTGTCAATCAAAGTGCGGCAGCGCTGAAAGCTGAAAATTGGCCTGGTAAATAAGGGGGTATGAGTGCCTGGTAGGCAAGTGGTTAAATAAAAGTGTGCTTCTGTTCCCAAATTTGTGATTCTATGAGCCTTAACAGGGTAAAATAATTTCAAATAATTTTTAATTTTTGTAAATCTGCAGTTTTGATAAACAAATAATATCTGAAGGTCCTTGTTCAGGCACTTCCTGTTATAGAATGACAACCCTTTGTCTCTGTCTCCCATTTGTACACCTGCGTTGTCATCTTATTACATGTGCTTCTGATGAAGATTACAAGCGGCCACTTTAAAGCAGACCTTACCCTAAAGTATGTCCTGTTGCCCTGCATCCTCCCGCCTCTCTCTCTTACAATTAGACATACGTTTTTTTTTTAAATTGATGTTATTTATTTCTGCTGTAGTTGGCACTTCATCATTTCTTGCATAGTCGAGAATTATGTTTTTGTCCCGCATCCCATGCACAGATGTGCTGCAGAGCTTCAGGTCCCGAGTGAGCCCTGTGGCAAATCAGGTTTCCCTAAGCATCTCTGCATGCATGGGGTTCCTCGAGCATGCGCAAAGATGGCTGTTAGGGCGGTCCCAAACCTCCGCCATCTTTGTGCATACACGGAAAATCACCTGTGCATGCACAGATTTGCCGAAGGAATCTTCCAGGACCTGAAGGGTGGGCAGAGCCCTGCCGCACATCTGTGCATTTTCCCTGATGGTGGCACCGAGGGGGGAGACTGCCGTTTGCTGCATGTAGACAGGAAGTGGCTGCGAAGAGGATGTATAAAAGCAGCAATAAAAGGTGCAAAGAAACCCCATGCATGCGGAGATGCTTAGGACAGTCCCAAACCTCCGCCATCTTTGTGCATACACGGAAAATCACCTGTGCATGCACAGATTTGCCAAAGGAATCTTTCACAACCTGAAGGGTGTGCAGATCCCTTCCGCACATCTGTGCATTCGCCATGATGGTGGCACCGAGGGGGGAGACTGACGTTTGCTGCATGCAGACAGGAAGTGGCTGCAAAGAGGATGCATAAGAGCAGCAAGGAAAGGTGAAAAGGATCTACATTTGCATTAACAAAACTATAATGTGGCATTGGCTGTTTTGCAGTAAATGATTGCAGAAATGACACTGATCTTACCGGATTTGGGACAGATTCCTTGGGGTAGTGTTTGTTAATGGCGTTTGCGGCATACTGCTGGCCTGGAGGAGGGTTAGAGGTATCCTGCAAGTAGAACCAATAGAGACATTTGTGTACAGTAGTTACTTATTGATAGAAAAACAATGTAACATGACGCAGATGTAAAGGGGTTAAGAAGACGTGGGGAAGCACCGGGGAACGGCTCATGCATGGCACAGCCCTGAGTTGTAGCACCTTGTAGAAGAAGGAATTATTCAGAGGTTTGTAGGCTCTCTCATGTTGCAGGTCTTACCTGTGAGTACCCGGGCACTTCTCTTTGCTGCGGTGCTGTCCATGCTTTGTCATCTTCACTCAGAGACCTGGATGGACTGGATGCATCACTTCCAACCACCTTTATAGAAAGAATAATGATGTCATTATCAAATTATATCCGTGGCAATCAACCTTGGCCCTCCTACTGGCCCCTCCTGTTTGTTAGGGGGGTCTCCCTTCTTAGCACATAATCATTTCTCCTCATTCTGCTCTACTGATTTCAGTTGGAACAAAAAAATACATTAAAGGGAGTTCCACCCAAAAAGGGAAGTTCTGCTTTAAAGATTGGTCCCCCGCTCCCCCTTAAGGATTGGCACCTTTGGGGAGTGGGGGAGGAACGGGTACTAGAATTTGACAGGTACCCGCTCCCACAGGTTCTGCCTAGGTGATCGGAAGTGAAAGTTGACTCCCTTCCCTCCCCAAAGTCTTGTGGGACACGTGATAGGTCCCCGAAGACGACAGGGCCATTCAGGAAATTAAGCGCAACTCACGCATGCGCAGTGGGCACCCGGCTGTGAAGCTGCAAGCTGTCACATCCAGGTGTCCACACTGAAGATGCTGGAGCCTGGAATACAGGATGGCCGATTAAACGGGCTGCGGCGGGGGCAACGCGGGATCATGGGATGGGAAGGCTGTGGCTGCTGAAGGGAAGAGGGGAGCCAACAGCCAGGCTAATGACAGTCTGTGCTCAGAAAGAAGAAATTGTAGATGAGGTGCAAGAAAAGCAGTCACTCCGGAAATTTCTTGCACCTCATCTACAATTTCTTCTTTCTGAGCACAGACTGTCATTAGCCTGGCTGTCGGCTCTCCTCTTCCCTTCAGCAGCCACAGCCTTCCACACACCGCTCCAGTCACCGCCACTCCGGCCAAGCGACCTGCACTCTTCACGAGTCACTCTGGAAATTACGTTTCTTGCAGTTTGCTTCGCTGGAGTATGATGGAGAGTATTACATGACTCCACGGGACTTTCTTTTTTCTGTCATGTTCAAGAGTGTTCAACATAACTTTCAGGACCCCATTTGGAGGACAACTGCAGGGCAGCCCCAGATCCAGAGAGGGGACCTCTGGCAGATCATACCACCTATACATATTGTGCATTTATTATGTGCATCTGGTGAGTGCGCATTTTTATCATATCCCCTGCACTTTGCTGAACGGATTAATATCACATGGAATTCATTTGAAATCACTTGAGCACGGGATTTTCACATAGCACCATTATCTGACTGATGTCAGATTTTCACCAACACATGAACTTTTATTTTGCGTGGATTGACTTTTATAGTTGCACTTAACCTACAGTGCCTAGTATCTTTACAAAGGACTTTACACAGTTATTATTGTTTTTGAATTTAATTTATGTTATATTTGGCACATCATTAACCTTATAGCACTGCACTTATTGATCGCATAGGTTATTGAAGGTGTTTTGGGTTCTTTTTTAGTGCATTTTCTGCTGACTCTTAATCTTAATCTTGAGCGCTCGCTAATTTCTTCATCGAATACCTTATAAACATTGGCTGTGTTTATGGGGGAATCAAGTGATTTTCTTTTCTGCAACTCGTGGTTGCAGGAAAAAAAATTGCATCATCTCTGGCTTGCCTTACAGAGAGAGGTAACAATATCTTACTTTTCGATTCATAGGAGTGTGCGGTAGATCATTGACGGCATTTACCACGGAGGTATACTGCTCCACAGAATGAACCACCTAGAACGAAATGACAGCATATAACTTCTATTCAGAAAAATGATAGTGGGGGTGAACAGTTTAGCACAGCCAAGAATGTACGTATCATAGTTCTCATTATGTAACATGGGCAAATTACCATTCGTAGCTTTTTGCACCCCAGCAAAACAAACCTTCAGGAGTGCATGTGTGGCGCCAAGGGCGTAACTATGTGTGATGGACCCATATCAAAAGCATTCAGGCCTCTCCTCGTGTATTACCCTTCTCTATGGCAGTCTCTAGTGCAGGGATTTCCAACAGGCAGCCCACAGAACCTCCTCTTGTGGCCCTCAGAGTGGTTGCGGAGTGCCAAGTGCTGGAATGTTTCATGCTCCAGTGTCAGACACTCCAGATTATCACAGCACTGTAAGCCAGAGTGATCTCCTGCCCAACAGTGACAGCATAGTTCCACCTCCAACTACAGATCCTCAGGGGCATGTAATCAAGTAAGTAAATACTGAACACCTTGAAATCATAGGACCCACTGACACCAATATTAGGCTGATTTTACTCCCACTGACACCAACATTAGGCTTTATTTTACTCCCATGAGGGTCTTATTTTTACTCCCCCTGACAATAAAGATGGGGCTTTACTTCCACTGGCAAAAAATAGGGCTTATATCTCTCTCACTGACACCAATGACAGAGCTTATTTTACTGCCACCAACAATAAGACTCAGTTTACTTCCACTGATACCAATAATATGGTGCTTATTCTATTCTACTTACATTGCCACCTATTATGGAACTTATTTTAATGCCACCAACAATGGGACTCATTTTACTTCCACTGATACCAATAATATGGTGCTTATTCTACTTACATTGCCACCTATGATGGAACTTATTTTAATGTCACCAACAAGGGGACTCATTTTCCACTGACACCAATAATACGGTGCTTATTCTACTTACACTGCCACCAATGATGGAACTTATTTTAATGCCACCAATGATGAGACATGTTAATGCCTACTGACACCAACAATGGGGCTTATTTTTGCTCACACAAACACTAATAGGGCTTTTTTTTACTTGGACTGTCACCAAAGATGGGTGCTACAGCAACAGGATGCAGGTGAGCAGAGGGGCTCCTAGGGATGGAACTTCCTTATAGTGGTTTACCCCTTTTATATGTGTATCTTTTCCTGGTTTTAGTAAAAGGCCCTTAACCCTGACCTGCAGTGTTCTGCTTGTAGGCAGGTGCAGTCTGTACTCCCCAGTGCAGGTGGCGCTCAACCGAAGTGGCATTGCAGAAGGGGAAGGAGGTTGTGAGGAATGTGGTTCCTCTATGACTTCCTGCGGTTACAAAGAGACAGCTGTCAAATTAGACACTCGCATGCCACGTGACTGCAGTGGCCATCTTTGGTCAGGCATAGTCTATTTAAGACTCCAGCTTCCGGGTTTGGAGCACTTTATGTGAGTGGCTAGCATGGGAAAAGATTACCTGTCTGGCAGGAACAGTATTTAAAGATAGGGAAAGGATCTGGAGAAGTGGAGACAATGTAGGGACTTCCTTGCTTCAGGAAGCCTTCACATTTGGGTGTAGACCAGCCAGGCCGCATTCTGCTCCTCATTGCAGATGCTGTCAGCATCTAAGTCTACAGACCGCTGTTGAAGTTTGTAAGTGGCTTCAGATGGGTGTGCCTACAGGCCAGGCCTAGTTGAGTTGTGTTGGACCTTTCTATAATATATCATGAATAACTAACTGGACTCTGTGAGTTTACTGCCTGCTACACCACACTGCACCTTGCTTACATGCTAGCCCTGTTGTTCCATCAATGAAATGTTGACCCCAATGATGTACCACACTAATAATTACATCAAGAGTGCAGACTTATCATTGAAACATCAAGTCCTATGAGCTCTGCGAGTGATATAACTATGCTAAATGCATTCTGATTTTTAAATCATAAATACAGTTCATTCAGCTTTTCCAAATGTACTTGCCAAATTCCTTTGCTACCTACATAAACCTCTCTGTAGCAGGAAAGTACTGAGCCCCCAACGCTGCATAGCGCCATGGCAGTGGTATCCCAGATGCTGGTGTCTTCCTGGCAGTCCCCCTACATGGTGGTGGTTGCAGAGTTCAGCAGCAGACCCTAATGACAGGAACTTATGGCTACAAAGCCTCAACTGCAGCAGGCTTCCCCCCTCCTCCTTCTCTTACTCCTCTCGCAACCAAGACCCCTGTTCCTTTTTATAAGATCACAGGACCATGGGGGACGGACCCAAAAAGCCAGCCAACTTAGACTTGGAAACAGCGACAAAAACATGAACCTCATTCTCTGGGGCTACGGCAGCCGTAATAACTAACTTGCAGTAGGCAGCCTGCCTTAATGACCTATGGCACTGCTGTCTCTGACTGCTATTCCCAGGAGACTAGGATTGAGATTTGGTCACTACTGTACTGTTCACTGTTTTACTTGCTGGAGGCGCTGACATGAGAAAGTAGAGCCCTGCTTCTACCAAAATGGCCACACTCATTACACCCATTACACAGTCAGTAATGGTTAAAGATCAGCTTCAAGGAGACTGCAGGTAATACTTGTGACTATTCTGTATGTTTTTGAGCTCTGGAGTATACAGATTTAAGCACCTAAAGTGGAACTTCACTCTCTCAATCAATATCGACTAAATTTAATCCTTATGCTGCTAGCATTAGTAAATGGATAGTATATCATATTTACTTGTTTTAAACTTTTTTGTTACATTTCTTCAGTTACCTCCTGGTTTCCATGCCTAGGCAAATGATGTCATACATCCCTGGAGGGGAGGGAGGGTTCTCAGCTCAGCCAATGCCTGACATAAGGGCTGATGGATTCCAGGAAGTAAATGCTACATGAACCATCCGCCCTTAGTCAGGAGGATAGCCATGGCCAGAAATACCGGGGGGGGGGGGGGGATGCAAAATGAATTGTCAGCAAAATAAAAATAAAATTTGTGGAGATCAGATGCGGTGCAGTTCCACTTTAAGCTAAGTTTCATGTGAAAATATATTTAATGGTTTTAGAATGTATAAATAACTGCATTAAAAATGTTTTTCTATCTGCCTAGGATTCAGCTTTGATATGTCCTGTTATCTTCTCTTACCTCTGGATTCTCTGCCTTTTCCTGGAGTGTCATTGCAATGTCCTCTCTTGCAGGGAAGGAGGATGCAACAGGTGGATACTGTTTTTGAGGATTAGTAGCCGAAATTAAAATATGAAAATGACTTAAAAAGAACACACATTCATTTAAAGTAAAACTTAAATAATTAAGAGCCCATTAAAAATTCTGTTCCCACAGTGCACCCGTTCAATGGGGTTGATTTACTAAAGGCAAGTAGACTGTGCACTCTGCAAGAGCAGTTGCCCCAGAGCTTAGTAAATGAGCAAAATTTCTGCTGACTTCTATCATCCAATCATGTGCAAGCAAAAATTGTGGTTATGTTTTTATTTTTCCTTGCATTTAATTGGGTATTCTTTGCAAAGTGAAGCTTTACCTCATTTACTAAATTCTGGAGAAAGTGCACTTGCAGAGTGCACAGTCTATTTGCCTTTAGTAAATCATCCCTATGTGTGGTGTGGCAGTGCTATTCATTGTGATTTGCACCCCAATGCATTGTACTGAAGACACAACAAATGATGCACTACTAAGCACATACCATGTGCTGTGGTGCGCTGCATTGCTAAAAAAAAAAAAAAAAAAAAAAAAAAAAAGAAAAAAAAAAGGGTCTTGTGCAATCCATAATGAACGGGCTTCCTGATTGCAATACACATTAACACACAAAGCACATTGACAAACCAATCGGCACTAAAAAACCCTTTGACTACCCCATTTACCCTATTGATGAAAACTGTATGTAGATAAGCAGACCTCCTATGCCAACAAGATCTATTTCCTACTTGATTATTCTCTATAACCAGAGTGCATGCATGATCTCAGCACAGACTACAAGGAGATAAGGGCAATGCATGAATCTATGAACCTTCACCTGAAATGCCATGGGCGTCATCAGCAATAAAAAGTAACGCTCCATCAACATCACAGTCCTTTCAAAAAACGTTTGAGTTCTTGCATGCTGCAAGCCAATACCTTGAGATTGCTCCCCTATCACGTTTTACCCTCCTTGAGGTTCAACAGTTAAGCCCAAAGATGGGTTAAATACATTAGAAGTGGGGATTTCAAGGCAGGGACATGGGGTTTTGCAAGAGCTGAAGTTTTTTTAAAAAAAAAGATGTTAATGGAGTCCAACTTTTCGCCACTTGTGTGGAGTTCAAAAGGCGCGGGGACAGGCTTCTGAGGTTGTTGGGCCCACAGTCAAGGGGAAGGACGAGAGTTTGGCGGAGCATGGATATTCTTTAATGGCATTGTATATAAAACCAAACATTTTAATTTAGTTTTGGAGTCAGGATGAGTTAGAACCTTGGTCAGGTTTATATTGATCTCCATGTCTCTGCTTGGTAGACTTGTGCTCTTTATTTGTCCTAAAAACCATGGTCACAGAACTAAAAGGGAAGGAAAAATCCAAGTCACTGGCTCAGTTGTAGGGAAATGTTTTTTAATGGGGACTCTTGTTAAGGTGACAACTGTTTAGGGGATTTCCATTACGCGGAATGACCTCCACTCAAACCCTGTTGTGTCTAGAGAGAAGTGAAGGAAAACCTCCCCAATCAGACACAGAGAAAAAAAATACAGGAACAAAAAATGCATTGGAGGTTTTAACTTAAACAGGCAAAAGGAGCTCAAAAAGCACTCACCTCACTTAAAACTCCATTGCTGTCCACAACTGATGGAAATGGTGAAGTTTCTGGTACCGGTGCCTTAGATATGCTATCTGCTGATGTCTTGGTGTCCACTTCATCAGGCAGTGCAACATCACGTGCTGCTGGAAGGCTTTGTGAAGTTGGAGCCCTAGGTTGGGTGGATGGATCACCACTTTCTTGGGGCTGATGACTCCTTCTTGACACTTGTTCAGGCTGGACCTGGCTGGGAGATGGAGCTACTGGAGGAACTGGCAGTGGTTCCGGGGAGCTGGGATTCAGCTGAATTGGAAGACTTATGCAACCTCGTAGACTGTCCAATTGAGAATTGTCACAAGGATTGGGTGGTAGAGAAGGAGGTGAGTAGGGAGGAGGATCAGGTTCCCAAACTACTGAAAGTATACAAATGTACAAACTTGGCTGGAGAAACTAAAAAAAATTCAATTGAGTTCAAACCTTTGCCAAAATACTAGCATTACATGAAAATCTTGGGTGAGCTAGAGCAAGGCAGAACCTTTAATAGACACGTTGCAGCACAACCTATAGAGTTTTCAATAAAAAGTAAAGCCAGCCACTCAGTAAACTATATGATCTAAATCTTTATTGGCTACATATCCAATAACACAGTGTACAGTTTACTAATGCGTTTCGGCTACTACAGCCTTCCTCATAGCACCTTGTAAGGTTTTCTATACACTTTTTAGGTATAGTTGATGCTTAAAGGGTTACTAAACCTGGAACCCTGCATTCACTATATCTGGTCTCCCCGGACCCTGCATTCACTATATCTGGTCTCCCCGGACCCCGCATTCACTATATCTGGTCTCCCCGGACCCCGCATTCACTATATCTGGTCTTCCCGGACCCTGCATTCACTATATCTGGTCTCCCGGACCCCGCATTCACTATATCTGGTCTCCCCGGACCCCGCATTCACTATATCTGGTCTCCCCGGACCCCGCATTCACTATATCTGGGCTCCCCAGACCCCGCATTCACCATATCTGGTCTCCCCAGACCCCGCATTCACTATATCTGGTCTCCCCAGCCCCTGCATTCACTATATCTGGTCTGCCAGGACCCTGCATTCACTATATCTGGTCTCCCCGGACCCTGCATTCACTATTTCTGGTCTGCCAGGACCCCGCATTCACTATATCTGGTCTCCCCGGACCCAGTATTCACTATATCCGCTCTCCCCGGACCCTGCATTCACTATATCTGGTCTCCCCGGGACCCTGCATTCACTATATCCAGTCTCCACAGACCCTGCATTCACTATATCTGGTCTCCCTGAACCCTGCATTCACTATGTTTAGTCTTCCACAGTTCACAGAACATGGAAATGCAATTATTTTTGTAAATATAAACTGCTAAATACCTTTTCTCATCAGCATTATATAGCAGTCTTATGCCTTCTATCAGTGTCACCTGAGCAATGGTTAATTTTGTAGGAGGAATTTTCATTCTCCTCCAACTGTCCTATGAGGCTGCATGGACCCTGAACTTCTGTCTGGACTGTGCTGATAGGCTCTCTGTCACATGCACTCTCCAAATAAAAACGAAAAAAAAAAAAAAAACTCTTTAGCAAAACACACCAAACACATACCTCTCAACTTTTTGAGATGGGAAAGAGGGACACCTATTAGCAAAAGTATGTAGGCAGAGGACACACCCTCTGCCACGCCCCCTTAAGGGAGCATTCTACAAAAAAAATATTAATTAAACCCACAAGTTCTTTTTTATCACTACTATTCATTATTATCTTTTGAAATTTACAGATGTAGCAATTTAGAATTTGAATGAAAGGTTTAGCACTGTGAAACATTGTTTGAAAGAAAAAAAGTAAATTTTGTTACAGATCAGACCAAAATGAGGGACAAATGAAGAGGAAAGGACAGAGGGACTTTGTTCCAAATCAAGGACAGTCCCTCGAAATCAAGGACAGTTGGGAGCTATGCACATAAAGCATGTGCGGATTGCCTTCTAGTATTTTGTATCTGTGTTCAAATAAACTAGCCTACCTCTGGCTTACTTCAAATCTGGTGTCGTCTGGATATTGGGGTAACAATAACGAGAGTCAGTGCTCTCGTGTTCCAGAGCCTTGACAGAGATACCCAGCCATAGGTGTCTGGGGTCCGTTACAATCATCAACAAAAAGTTGCCAGTTTTAACCACTTCCCGACCGGCCGTTCCCTTGGAGCGCGCAGCACCGCGATCCGGTGCCCGCTGTGTCCTCCGGACACAGTGAAACACCGATCGTCGGACGGGACCTCTGTACGAGGTCCCAATCATGTGATCACTGATTGGCCACTCAGTCATCACATGCAAAGTAGTAAGCAAGATGTCACTTGTGACATCATTGCTTACTACGTGTGAAATCTGTGAATGATCACAGAGGTCACATGGTACAAGGCTATTCACAACAGCCTTGTACCATGTGACAAGCTGTGACCAATCACAGCTCACTCAGTGCTTCTCAATGAGTGCAAGAATGCACACAGAGAGAAAGAGAAATGATTGCTTTTACATCCTATATGGGTGTAAAAGCAATCAGTGTAAAAAAAAAAAAATCTTCATCACCCCCCACTAGTAGTACAGTGTCACCATGGTGACACTGTACTGCTAAGGTGACAGTATGTAAAAAAAAAATGAAAATAAAAAAATAATATAAAAAAATAAAATAAAAATGTAAAAAAAAAATGTTTAAAAATTATAATTTTTGGTTATAAACTAATTTGGATTTTTTTTTTTTACTAAAAAGATAACGGAATACATTTTGGCAAAGATTTATGATGAAATATTATTTATTTGCAAAATTTTTATTTAAAAAAACACTTTTTTTTTCAAAATTTTTGGACATTTTCATTTACATAGCAAAAAAAAATAAAAATCCCAGTGGTGAATAAATACCACCAAAATCTTTATCTGTCTCAAAAAAAATGGTAAAAAATTCATTAGGGTACAGTGTTGCATGACCGCGCAATTGTCATTCAAAGTGTGATAGCGCTGAAAGCTGAAAATTGCCCTGGTCAGGAAGGGGGTAAAAGTGTCCGGTCTGGAAGTGGTTAACTATTAGTCTCCGGTCACACTAATCCAATTCAAGTGAAGTCGCACGATTGCAAAGTCGGATGTCAATCCGACTTCAGGTGCGACTTGCAAGACATCTGCGACTTGCAGGACACAGATGTCTATGCAAGTTGTACCTGAACTTGCAAAAAGTAGGGCATGCACTACTTTCAAAACACTAAAACACTTTCTAGTTTTAGCAAATCAACCCCGTAGTATTTTCAAATGGAGGTTAGCAGTAGTAGTAGTAAGGGCTGTATTTATTATAATGGCACTTGTGGGCCAGTGCTTAGAAAGGAAGATTTAGAGGGGGCAGCACATACTTTCAGACAGAGGGGTTGATTTACTAAAGGCAAATAGACTGTGCACTTTGCAAAGTTGCTCCAGAGCTTAGTAAATGAGGTCCACTTTGCAAAGAATACCCAGTGACGTAAAAGGAAAAAAAAAAAAACATTTTTGCTTGCACATGATTGGATGATGGAAGTTAGCAGAACTTCTGCTCATTTACTAAGCTCTGGAGCAACTGCACTTTGCAAAGTGCGCAGTCTATTTTCCTTTAGCAAATCATCCCCAGAAGATGGCGTTTTTCTTAACTTTGCTTCCCTCTCTTACCTGTTCTGGACATTTGGTCCACCCACCTAGCAGAATGCAGTGTGAATGGACAGTAAACAAGCGAAGGAACAGTGATGGTGGGCCCCATATCCTCATGGGCCCAGAGAAGTAGCTGCACTCTGAACACCCCCTATAGTTATATTTAGCATCATATCCAGTATACCTCATAGGATGATGTTATTTGAATAGGTTTTACTCACCTCCTTTAGGTCTGTGCAATCTGTACTCATCCCGAAGCGTACCATACAGTTCAAAATGCTCACACTTCCACAGTGCTTGTAATAAATGGTTCACCCAATTATCTCTCTTCCTCAGGTTATTCAGAAAATGAAACACCGCGTTTGTATTGCCTTCTCTATCCAAATTTCTCTCTAGTTGCTCCTTGAAGAGAAAGTATAATCAGACAGGTTTTATTCCAAATTGCATTTGCTCTCCCACCTCTCTAATTGGCTACTAGGGGCAATCATGTGACTGTCTCACCGATGCAGTGCAACACACTAAGGGGTCGATGTACAAAAGGCAAATAGACTGTGTACTTTGCAAAGTATAGTTGCACTATGCAATTACAGTTGCTCCAGAGCTTAGTAAATGAGGTGAAGCTTCACTTGGCAAAGAACACCCAATCACGTGCAAGGAAAGTAGAAAAAACAGCATTTTTGCACGCGATTGGATGATGGAGGTCAGCAGAGCTGCTGCTTATTTACAAAGCTCTGGAGCAACTGCAATTTGCAAAGTGCGCAGTCTGTTTTTAGTAAATCAATCCATAAGTGTGATCGCTGCCATGTAGGTCTTGGGCCCAGTGTTAGCTTCAGCCAACTTGACATGGAGCTTGCATAGGGTATTGCCTGTTTGCTCCGGCAGAAGTAAATCCGACCATACATGGGTTTGATCAATATATGGGCAGGCTGATTGTACCTAAATTGATCCATCATTTAACTTAGGTACAGCCAGCATGTTGGATTTTTTACATTCGACTAATTTCGGCGGCAATAGTTGCTAACAGTAGTCATTGTGTTCTGCCAGTTTGGAAGGCTCCACGCACCCCCCTGCCAGCAGAACACAAAAAGCACTGCGGGAGGCATACCCCCATCAAAACTGACCGTGTTGATGGGGGAATTGAGCTATTGTCTTTGCTCCTTCCTTGTGGAAAGGAAAGAAACTCAAGTCATCTATGGGCTGCTTTAGGTGAGTATAGACAGATAGTATAAAGACATAGCAGTTGGGACAGAATTTCAATGCACCTGCTGCTTTTCCCTGTATGCACCAAGTACAGATTCACTCTAAAGCCTCATTCACACTGGGCATACTAAAGTGTACACCTGCGGAGGGCCGTATTTACCCACACAGGGATACACAAGTGCATCCCCATGTAGGCAGTCCTCTTCATGTCAGTTGGGACTCACCATCTGTATGGCTGCACAGGCAGCGCTCTCAATGTGACACCCGTGTGGGGTGGGTGCGGTTGCATGGCCCTGAACGCACCCTGGGGATGAACACTCGTCCATCCCGCCCACACGGTACACAACGCCCTTTACAGATATACACTTTAGAACACCTTGTGTGAACGAGCCCTACCCCACCGGCCAGAGATTAATGTTCTTGGGTACAACCCCCCCATGCTAACAGAATGTTAATCTATGCAGCATGTGAGAACTATCAGCACTCGCTTGTGTGCGCTCCTAGTTTTGAGACCCCCGCAGTCACACCCCAACCAGCATGGCTCCTAATCATGTGATCACTATGACAGCCAATCATGGTGATTACATGAGGTTTGTTTACAAAAAAAAGAACCTTTATTTGATCTGTAAACTCAGTTGATACTTTCCATTTCTACATTAAGTGGGTAAAAAAAGCATAACAAATGTGATTAAAGTCCAACTCAAGCCAAACGTTTTTGGATAGAGAAGAGAAGGTTCAGTTTTTATTGTTATCTGTGGAACTATTGGGGGATTCCATTCACTTCCTGTCAGCTCTGAAAGTGAATGGAAATATCTCCAATGGAAGAAAAATATGTTGTCAGCCCACAAAGAGCTTCTCGAAATAATCCAACTAGAATTGCATGGCACCAAAAGAAGTGGAGATGCTTCGGAACCACAGAGGGTCTCTTTATCACATAGAGGGCTCCTTCATCCCACAAAGGGTCCCTTCATCCCACAGAGGGCCCCTCCATCCTATCCCACAGAGGGCCCCTCCATCCCACAGAGGGTCTCTCCCTCCCACAGAGGGTCCCTTCATCCCACAGAGGGTCCCTTCATCCCACAGAGGGTCTCTCCATCCCATCCCACCCAGAGGGTCCCTTCATCAGGCAAAGTGAAATGATGAAGGGACCCTGTATGGTTCCACTTCTGTTTGTGACATGCTGTTCTAATGCCAATAAAGGCAGTTTTACTTCAAGATATGGTATGCTGGTGACATTTTTTTCTTCTGTTCCTTTAGCTCCATCCACTCGTTGCTACTGGATTCTAGCAGAGGATATATTCAGGATCTCCTCAATGGAGACATAGACAGAAAGTAGAATAAGAAAGGGTTAGAAAGCTGGGAATACACTAAAAAAAATTTCAAACAGAAATTTTAAAGAAATTTTGTAAGAAAAGTCTCAGTACATTTGAATGTCATTTGAAAGATTTTGTTTGCTTTTAACATTCCGTTTTGGAATGAATGGACTTTACTGAACGAAAACCACATTTAATGTAACAAATGTGTACGTTTGAGAAAAATTTTCCATTCTGCTTCAAATTTTTTTGTCACTGCAGTCGAAAATGAACGTTGAATTGACCCCACTAATAATTAGAACAAACCAAACAAACAAAGGTTCTTCCAGCGTTCTTGCAATGAAATACGTTGAATGTCTGTGCCTTCCTGTCCTGCCCAGTTTGCAAAGTGCGATAATGCTGAATGGTTTGTTTGTAAACAAATATCATTTGATAGCCATAATTGGCTGTCATGGTGATCACATGATGGGGAACCAAGCTTATTGGTTCCTGATCATTAGTTGATTTATCAATGATAGCTGCTTATTGCACATAGATCACTGTTCTCTCAGCATTCTTCCCATGTTTTCTGGGTGTAATTTTATCCACTGTTAAGATTTTTTTTTTTGCCATGATTAAAAAAAATGCTACACAAAGTAGCTCTTTCTGTATCTATCTTTCCTGCAACTAAGTTGTGAATACAGAGAGACTCCCTGTTTGCAACAGCTGTCAACTGTCTTGGAGGACATAGGTTTGGATGGTGCCACAAGTGTCGAAACACAGAGAGCATTGAGAGCTTGGAAGAGCATTATAACCTTCTGAAGTCCAGGTAAGTGAGCCACTGGAGGGGACACGGTGGAAGAGTATGGATTTTGATTAAGAGCAGTGCTGATTGTTTATAAGAAATTGTTCTCCTCATTGCAGTTCGAACAATCCAGCATGATATATAGCAATGGCATTGTAAGTAGAAATGGTTCTTACCCCAGTGGGGATGGTAAAGACTCCTCTTAGATGATTTAGCATCTCATTGACATTTATACACCCCAGCAAATCCATGTTTTTCCTCAAGAAATCGAAAAACTTATCCTCAGCAAACCCCATTCTTATCTAATAGGAAAGAGAAATATGTCATTAATATCCTCCCTGTATTTTGTTTGGCTGTCTATAATAGTGTTTTATTTACCATTTAGATTGTAAGCTCTCCTAAGCATGGCCTCCTAACCCTCCTTTATTGAATTGTATGGTAACTGTACTGTCTCCCTCATTTTGTAAACTGTTAGAAATATATTACTCCTGTATAATAATAATAATAATAATAATATTAATAATAATAATCATCAAAATTTTTCATATTACTGCAAATGACTCATCTGCACTCTACACTAGGCGAAGGATCATAAACAATTGACTGGTTGTGTGTTGGATGCATATGATCCTGTTGTGCACTGTGATAAACTTCTCTTGTTTGGACACGTACTTCTGCTCAAGATCTGTTAGTGCCTCTACTGCTTTCTATTTATTTCATTATTACTTGGGCAGAAGTATGTGTCCAAACAAGAAAAGTTCATACTGTCCACAATTTTGATAGATTGCAATTTGCCGTAATGACCTTAATGAAGATGGACTGCGATCCATAAAAGCTTGGACCAAATAAACTTCTCTTCTTTGGACACATACTCCTTCTCAATACCAATGAGTGCCTCTACTACTTTCTATTTATCCACGGATGTTACTCCATTGCAATGCACCCAGATAGTTACTCCCTGGAGAGTGTGCAGTGACTTCCATATGTAGCACCCCCCTAATTAGGTGCTAGGATGTGTATAGTTTGGTTAAGCATAGCTGTGTTTCAGTGTGGTATTCTGCTTAACAGAGCGATGTGGTTGGTTAGTCAGGTCTGCTCATGCTGCTCTGGTGTGTTAGGGTTTGAGTTCTGCCCACCTTCAGGAAGCTATGAGAGCAATCCAGAACATGGGTAGGGGCTAGGCAAATGCACAGCATGAATATGGACACAGCCCTGGTCAATTGCAGGGGAGTGCAGTCCCATTGCATGCTGGGAGTGGTATTTATATTCTGAGAGCACATGGGTTTAGTGTCTTTCCTAGGAGTAAATTGCACCAACCAAGGTTGGAGGCAGGCTGCCTCGCCTGGCACTTGCTGCCATGCGGCCTCACGTGGGTCAACCTGATGGCCTGAAGTTAGAGAGGGTAACCCTGGTTCTTCAGTAAGCTGACTGAGGGGAGCTGTCTGCCATCACTGGAGAGAGTCGCTTGGAAGATTGGAAGGAGGCAACTATTCTGTCCTTGGATTTGTGAATACAGGCTGAGAGATCTTGGGAACTTGTGTGCTTTCCTACCCCTCTGGGGCTTAAAGTCAGCATGGGTCTAAAAAGGAAAGGGAGGAGCCTGTCCAATTAATGCTACTGCAAAGGACTTTGCTCAGTTGCTATTACTTCTAGACTGTTGCAGTCTGCTGTAACAGGCCTGTACCCGAGGAGCTCAACCCTGTTACTACTACTACAGCTAAAGGGATTTGGCTCACTCATAAAATTACTTGCTGCTATATGTTACAGAGAAGTCTGCTATCTATTCTTAGCCAGGACTCCTGCCTTGTTCAACAGAGAGATACGTTCAGATGTCCTCAGTGTGAATAGTTCTGATTTTGGAGTATCCTACTACAATTACCCTATCCCTATCCCCAGTTCTACAATAAAACTCCAAAAACATAACATCCTCTAGACTTGTCATTGAAGATAACTAGCCAAAAAGTGTGTGTGTGCCTGGCTGCGGGGTGAAGCAAGGGGAAGCCCATGGAGAACTACAGAAAATATAGAGACCTCCGTGTAAAATCCATTGACCCATTGCAGCAAAGTGACAGCAGTAGATAAATAGAAAGTAATAGAGGCACTCACAGGTCTTGGGCAGAAGTATGTTCTCAAACAAGAGAAGTTCATTCTGTCCAACATTTTGATGGATTGCAGTTTGCCCTAATGACCTTGACAAAGATGGACTGTGACAGGGGCGGACTGACCATTTGGAAACTTGGGCACTGCCTGAGGGCCTTGGGTCAGTAGGGGGCCCCATGAGATGCCCCTGGTACCTTTTTCATAGGCTTTTTTGAGTTTGGGCAAGGACACGGGCCCCAAGATCCCCTATTGCCCGGGGGCCCCTGAGTTGTCAGTCCGCCCCTGGACTGTGATCCATAGAAACTTGGACAGAATAAGCTCCTCTTCTTTGGACACACACACTTCTGCTCAAGACCTGTGATTGCCTCTACTGCATTCATCGTGTGTCCAAACAAGAGAAGTTTATTTTGCCCAATGTTTTGCTAGATCGCGGTCCACCTTGATGACTTTGACGAAGATGGACTGTGATCCATACAAACTTGGACAGGATATACTTCTCCTGTTTGGACATGTATTCTTGCTCAAGACCCTTGAGTACCTCTACGACTTTCTATTTATCTACTGATGCTACTTTGCTGCTATGCACTGAAACAAGTACTCCCTGGACAATGTGCAGTGACCTCTATATAAAATCCACTGGTCCAGGTGCATTCCGGCAAATAACATCACTGGAAAAATAGAAAATAATAGAGGCACTCACAGGTCTTCAACAGGAGTAGGTGTCAAAACAAAAGAAGTACATTCTGTCTAAACATATGATGGATTGCAATTGGCCTTGATGACGACAAAGATGGACTGCGATCCATAGAAACTTGGACAGAATATACTCCTCTTCTTTAGACACATATTCCTGCTCAAGACCTGTATGTGCCTCTACTACTTCCTGTTATTTAACAAGAACATATAGATGTGATAAGATGTCCACATATCTTGTACATTCTTGTACTAATGTTACTTTGCTGTAATGTACCCAGTCCAATGGATTTTATATGAAGATTACTGCATATTTGTAAGCAGGTTGTAACACTGCTGTAGGTAGCTAGTGGCTGGCCCAGGTTGGAGAAGTAAAGGTTAAGCAACCTATTCTCAGTTTCCAGGCTTTTGGGTCTTAGCTGTCCCATCTGTGATACAAAAAAAGGGGAAGACTGAGGTCCGAGAGTTCCTTTTCCCACTCTTGATTCAACTTGGAGAAGGACTGCTGCGGCTTGTAGTCCGCTTGAAGACACCAATGGTTCTGCAGCAATGTGCTTTACCTACATGGACTAGCACCTGAGGTATGCCTGGGCAGCCACACACATGTATAGGTAGCATTAGGGAAAACTGTTCATATTGGACTGTAATTCCATTAGCTGTTCTGAGCCAGGTCTTAAGTTATTAAAAGGGCTGCATGTTGGTTCTGGCATATCCAAAAGAACCAGGGTATGAAAAGCACATATGGGGTATGAAGTCGCACTATATGAAATTACACTACATCAGAGGTTTAACTCAGCAAGTCAAGTAAGAGTAATTCCACTGCTAAGAGTAACCAAGCACAGGTTCAAGGCATGAAGCAATTAGTTGTAGGTGTGGTAACTGGTAAGGTGGCAGTTTCTTCGGTAACGAGGGGGTTGCTATTTGTCTCCTTCCCGAGCGTCTGTCTTCCTCCCACAGCAACTGTGAGCAGACCAGCGTTGAAGACATCCATGACCTGGCCACAAGGTATAGGAAGTGAGGAGTTAACAGTGAGTATGGATGAGGTCCACGCTATGGGCTTGTTGGGACTCCATTCTGTTACTAGGATCGAGGCAACAGAGGTTCGCTAGACAGGTGGAGCGGGTGCAGGCTCACTGTATCCCTCCTAATACAATTATGGAAGGAAAGTGTGTAGTGATATGGGACACCACATTTCAGAGGAACTCTATAATTCATTGCACACAATATAAGCTTGTCTCTAAGTTAGGCAATTGCCTTAATGTTAGACTTTCACATGACCACAGTCTCCACCTGTTACCGGGCATTGATGAATGTGCTAGGACATCAGTGCTACAACAACAGTGCTAACCACCGAGTTTCCATAATGGCTGGATTTCTAGATCTGCTTTACGTTTGATTCTTACCACACCCTCATTGTATAGTCAATCAATCCTTATCTTTATGACTCTCCACATACCTGCAAACACTTTTAGTATTTCCAGACTTTCATTTACAGGGCATGGGGCAGAGATCAGGAAATCAGGACATATTTGTACTGCTGAGATGAACAAAAAGGAAACGAAAAAGAAACAAGTTAGAAGCGGATTGGCTACCATGGATAGATGAACCAGATTCTGAGCGCACCAGTTTTAGTAAATGCACCCCATTGGGCCTGATTTACTACAGCCCCATTCAGCCGCAGCAGCTGTCAGCCACTCAATGACTTTTACTGGCTGCCGGCAGCAGAGCTGGGTGGTGCGCCTGTACCTTCCGCTTCGCAACCTAAACACCAGAGCTCCATGCACCAGGGCTAATTACTGTATTTTTCACTACATAAGACGCACCTGACCATAAGACACACCTAGATTTTATAGGAGGAAAACAAGAAAAAAAATTCTGAACCATTGGACTGCAGACACAGTACAGGAGATGACCAGAGACTGCGGACACAGTACAGGAGATGACCAGAGACTGCGGACACAGTACAGGAGATGACCAGAGACTGCGGACACAGTACAGGATATGACCAGACTGCAGACACAGTACAGGAGATGACCAGAGACTGCGGACACAGTACAGGAGATGACCAGAGACTGCAGACACAGTACAGGAGATGACCAGGACTGCGGACACAGTACCGGATATGACCAGACTGCGGACACAGTACAGGAGATGACCAGAGATTGCAGACTCAGTACAGGAGATGACCGAAGACTGCGGACACAGTACAGGAGATGACCGGAGACTGCGGACACAGTACAGGAGATGACCAGAGACTGCGGACACAGTACAGGAGATGACCGGAGACTGCGGACACAGTAAAGGAGATGACCGGAGACTGCGGACACAGTAAAGGAGATGACCGGAGACTGCGGACACAGTACAGGAGATGACCGGAGACTGCAGGACACAGTACAGGAGATGACCGGAGACTGCGGACACAGTACAGGAGATGACCAGAGACTGCGGACACAGTACAGGAGATGACCAGAGACTGCAGGACACAGTACAGGAGATGACCGAAGACTGCGG